GTTGTTTGGCGGGTCCGGGCTGGGGATTCGAACTCGCCACCTTAGGTGTACGTGGCTGGCGCCTTAGCCGGTTGAGCTATAGGCGCCGAGCCTATTTCCATCTTGATAATTGTCCGTATTCTCCCAATTCTATAGTTGAGCATTTATCAATTGTGTAATTAGGGGAAAAAAAGATTTAAAGTGGCCATTGCAGTGGTTCATGCCTGTAATCCTAGCATTCTGGGAGGCTGAGGTGGGAGAATCACTTGAGTTCAGGAGTTCGAGACCAGCCTGGGCAAGAGTGAGACCCCATCTCTACCAAAAATAGAAAAATTAGCTAGGTCTGATGCACACACCTGTAGTCTCAACTAGTCTGGAGGCTGAGGCAAGAGAATTATTTCAGCCCGGAAGTTTGAGGTTGAAGTGAGCTATGATGATGCTACTGCACTCAAGTCTGGAGGACAAAGTGGTTTTCTGCCTTAAATAAAAAGTTGAAAGAGAAAGAGTACAATTCTGTGTTGACTTCTCTTTCACTCTAAATCAAAAGTTGGCAAACTATGACTCAAGGACCTCTGGCCTACATTTTATATAGCCCTAAGCTCACAATTTTTGCATTTTTAAATTATTGGGGAAAAACATCAAAAGAAGAATAATGTTTGGGACATGTGAAAATTATATGAAATTCTGACCTCATTGCCTATAAATAGAGTTTTGCTGGCACACAGCCAAATCCATTCATTTAAGAATGGATTTAACTGGCCATTCATATTCTATGGCCAGTTTTATGTTCCAAAGGCAGAAGTGAGTCATTGAGACAGAAACTGTTAGACTCACAAGCCTAAAATATTTACCACTTGGGCTTTTCTAGAAAAAATTGACTATTTGAAATGAAAGGGCATCATTGAATTTTTTAGTTTAAAAAAAAGATACATACTCATAAAAAGCTAAGCCCTGCAGAAGTGGTAACATTACTAATGTTTTCATCAAACTGCAACCACCACTTTTTAAAAAAGATAGGGTCTTGCTATATTGCCCAGGCTGGTCTTGAACTCCTAGGCTCAAGTGAGCCTCTCGTCTTGGCCCCTCAAATGCTGTGATTACAGATGTGAGCCACTGTGCCCAGTGCATTTTCGTATTTGATTGTTTTTTCCCTGACTCCAGAGATCCAGATGTATGTATGCAACAAGGAGGTATATGGCTTCCTGCCGGTGCCACTGCGGTCCCACAGCACCCTCCAGGACGAGGCTGAGAGCTTCATGCATATGCAGCTGGAGGTCATGGGTAAGTCCATCGCACACTGCCCTGGGAAGGGCTGAATTGCCTCACTTTTGCTGCTATCTCACATCTATCAATGAGTACTAATTGAGTGCTTCTGGATGCCAGTCCCTGTGGGGGGTACCAGGCACAAGGGCATGCGTGTAGAACATGGATGATTGTCCTTGCTCCCACAGAGTGCTGGTTTACAAGCAGCTGCACACAGTGTGTGCTCAGGGTTGTCAGGGTGAGCTTCCTGGAGGAGGTGGCGTTACAGTACAGGGTGAATAGGAGTTCATGAGAAAGAGGATTTCAGCTGGATGTAGCAGCATTGCAAAGGCCAGGAGGCTGGAGGGGATGTGAACTTGAGGAACAGGCAAGGCCAATGGGCAGCCAGGACCAGGGCAGGGAGCCTCAGATGCCAGATTCTCTGAGGGTGGTTGTGAGCCATGAAGGGTGTGGGAGTGAGAAGCAGAGGCTTTTCTCTGATGAACTTCGTGTATGTGGCAGTGCCTAGAACATGGCTATTTGGGGACATTTTCTCTTCTTTGGTCCTGTTAAACTTTAAACCTGTTAATATTTGATATTTATAAAACTTTTTGACATTTATCTTCAACAGACACTTTCCCTTTATTCACTGAAATTAAGTTCTTTTAAAAACAGGAAATTCAGTATTTTCACCATAATTGCAAGCCTGGATCTTTCAAATACATAACAACAACAACAAAAAATTCATAAACTGTGAAAATAACAGCTGTCCCTTCATGCCTGAAATGAGGTTGTTTGGGCAGGTGCCCCTGTCTCAGCCACTCCTGGTGTGGGCCTTGTCCTGTGCTGGACACACAAATTCCCAGGAACAGCAGGACCATTCCCACCAATGCATGGAAGGGGGCTAGCTGGGAGGGGTAAAGCCTCTGCCCTGGGGCTCAGTTTCCCCAGTCCTACGTGTTTGTGCAATGTTCTGTCTGTTCTGCCCCCTGGGGGCTGAAGTTGGAATGGCACCCTGCCCTCCTTATTTGGGGAGACTCTCAAAAGTCTTAATTGTGGTGACACCTAGAGATTGCAAGGTCAGTGGGGCAGGCCCCGCATGACACCCAGGTGTGTCTCACACTTAGATGCCAGGGCCCCATCCCACTGCAGTCAGGGGAGATGAATCTATATCACCAACTGTTATCAAAAACCAGACTCGCAGAGGTATCTCCGTAGCTGACATACTTTTCACAGTTTACATTTTCACATACATTTTTCTGTTTCTATTAGGAAAAACAATTCATGTTGTTAAAAACTTAGATACAACAGAGATGTGAATATTTTCCTGATCCTTGAGGGCCAGAGTGAACCACACAGAACAGACACATAGCAGGTCTGGAAGTTTCAGATATTTGTATAGATGTTTTCTTATGTTCTGCACAAAAAATACATTTTCTCTCCATCCATGTATAGGTACTTAGATTGTGCTATGGACATGATATTTCATGAATTCAAAAATCTTTTGTGTAGGCTGGGTGTGGTGGCTCAGGCTTGTAATCCTAGCATACTGGGAGGCCAAGGCAGGAGGATCTCTTGAGGCCAGGAGTTAGAGACCAACCTGAGCAAGAGTGAAACCCTGTCTTTACTAAAAATAAAAAAATGAGCTGAGTGTTGTAGTAGTCTCATCTACTCAGGAGCTAAGGCAGGAGGATTGTTTGAGCCTAGGAATTGGATGTTGCTGTAAACTAGGCTCACAGCACGGTACTCTAGCCCAGGCAACAGGGTTCTGCCTAAAAAAATATATATATGTCTTTTGTGGAGCTGGGCATGGTGGTGGCTGCCTATAGTCCTAGCTACTCAGGAAGCTAAGGCAGGAGGATCACTTGAGGCCAGGAGTTTAAGACCAGCCTAGGTAACATAGTGAGGCCCTGTCACAAAAAAGAAAAATTAGCCAGGCACAATGGCATGCCTGTAGTCCCATCTGTTTGGGAGGCTGAGGCAGGAGAGTTGCTTGAGAAAAGGAAAAAAAAAATCCTTTGTATGATGAAATTTCAGGCTTGCAGGAAAGTACAAAATGATGCCTGTCCCCTATATATGGGGAATCCCACAACTGGCTTCCTTCCTCAAATGCACATAGATGATGGGGCATGTTTCCTCATATGCCCTATAAACCTGGCTTGGGAGAAATCCTGTTTGTTGAGATTTAATACATATAGCAGTGCCCAGGTTACATGAATGAGCCACAGTGAGGTTTAATTTTATAGCCTTGTAACCGGCCACAGACCAGTCAGGAGAGTATTCTTGGCCCTCCTCTGGACTTATGCTGTCCTAATTCCATCAGCTAATGGGATTTTGCCTATTTTGTGCTTATTCAGGTAAAATCACCTCTCTACCTCACGTCTGTGTGGATTGCTATATGCATATTATTCATGTGGATCATGTGGATATTTAAGCATAGGTTTATCTGCTCTTGGCTGTATCATGTATTGGGTTGGCCCAGTGACCATCCTTAGCCAGTCTTCTGAGGAGCTCCAAGGGTTTTTGTCATTTTTCCTGGTGTTGCCATGAGTGTTCTGTGTACATGTTTGGAGCAGTCCCAGGTGTATATGTGTGGGTATGAAGTTAGGGAATGGTTCCCAAGACTACCCCTTCTGATGCCAGCTGCAAATTCAGGGGTCCCCAAGAGCACAACCACCTTCAACAACTCACAGTGAAGTACTCACAGAACTCACTGGAAGTTGTTATATTCATGGTTACAGTTTATTTCAGCAAAAAGACAGAGATTGAAATCAGCCAGGGGCTAGGGCTGGGCTCACACTGAGGCAGGAGGATTGCTTGAACCCAGGAGTTTAAGACCAGCCTCAACAAGAGCAAGACCCTATCTCTGCTAAAACTAGAAAAATTAGCCAGGCATGATGGTGCACACCTATGGTCCCAGCTACTTGGAAGGCTGAGGCAGGAGGATCGCTTGAGCACAGGCATCTAAAGTTGCTATGAACTATGATGACACCACTGTACTCTGCCCAGGATGTCAGAGCAGGACGCTATCTCTAAAAATAAATAAATAAAAATAAAATGCAGCCCAGGCTTAGTGGCTCACACCTATAATCCTAGGACTTTGGGAGGCCAAGTCAGATGGATTGCTTGAGCTCAGGAGTTTGAGACCAACCTGAGCAAGAGCAAGACCCAGTCTCCAAAAATAGCTGGCTGTAGTGGCAGGCACCTGTAGTCCCAGCTGCTACTCATGAGGCTGATGCAAGAGAATCTCTTGAGCCCAGGAGTTTGAGGTCATTGTGAGCTATGATGCCATGGCACTCTACCGAGGGCAACATTCTGAGACTGTGCCTCAATTAAAAAAAAAAAAAATTAATTTAAAAAATCAGCTATGGGAAGAGGCACCTGGAGTAGAGTCCAGGAAGTTTTATTCCTGGAGCTGTCATTTCCCAGTAGCTCCTGGGCAGCATTAACTTTTCCTGCAATGCTGTGTGATGATGATATGTGTGGTGAACTGCCAACCAGGGCAGCTTCCCCCAAGCCTCAGTGTTCAGAGTTTTTATTGGGGGGTGGTCCTGATGTGGTTGGTCACCTGCATGGCTGACCTCAATGCACAGCCCTTTCATAGTGTCAATGGGAAAGAAGCCATACTCTGTAAAATAGTTTAAGGTTTATTTCGAGCCAAATTTAAGGACCATACCCAGATCCACACCCAAGAAGCCTTGAGCAGGTGGACTCTCTGTGGTGAGATGACAGTTCGATTTTATACATTTCATTTTTTATTTTTTATTTTTTTTGTAGAGACGGCGTCTTACTTTATTGCCCTCGGTAGAGTGCCGTGGCATCACACAGCCCACAGCAACCTCCAACTCCTGGGCTTAGGTGATTCTCTTGCCTCACCCTCCCGAGTAGCTGGGACTATAAGCGCCCACCATAACGCCTGGCTATTTGCCTCCACCTCCCAAGTAGCTGGATTATAGGTGCCCACCACAACGCCTGGGTTTTTTTTTTTTTTT